TCCTTCTCTGTAATCATCTCCGCGAGCGACAACTGATTCTTCATAGCAGAAAGCCAGAACTCAGGAATACCAGCAACAGTAGTCTCCTCGCCAGCGGTCTCCTTCTTTTCGCCTCCAGTGGACTTGGCGGCAGCAGCAGCACCGGCCTGTCCGGCATCCTCGCCCTCATCCTCATCCTCTTCTTCTTGACCAGCCTTGATCTCATCGGCGGTAGGTTCCTTGGTTCCGTTGACTATACTGGCACGTTTTTCATAAAGAGGCTGGAACTTGGCGAAAAATTTCTTCTCCAGCTGTAACACTTCTTCGTGAAACTCGGTCTCGATTTTGGCATGTTCCTTCTGGATACCCTTGAGGCCCGCAACACGGCGGCGGACGGGTGCCGGAAGTGACTCGACATAGCCGGAAGAACAACCTATGAGAGATCCCAGTCTTCCCTGAATCATGGAGACCAACTTTGGGTTTTGAGCGAATATTGAGGCAGCGGCAGCACGGTCAAGATCCTCTATTTTTCATTTTCAGTTAATTAAAGCATTGAAAGCATTAGCAATGATGAGGAATGAGAACCGCGAAGGGATATTAGATGGTTTTTTTTTTTCTTTTCTTCTTCCTTTCCGAATTTTCTCTTTTTTTTTTCTCTTTCTTTCCTCTCGCCTCCTTGAACAACAACAACAACAACAACAACTGCAACTACTAACCTTCTTTAATATCTGGAACACCAGGTTGTTGAGCGTGAGAAGTGATAGGGGCATTATTGGCAGGTGTGTTTTGGGGAGTGCTGTTGTTTATGACTATGTTAGCAGTGGGGGGACAAGACAACCACCAAATTTGTTCTTTCACATTTGACAATCTTTCTTCTTCCGTCTCTCTTATTACTCTCTTCTTTTCCCTCTTTCTTCTTCTTCTCTCTCTAATAATGTCTCATGATCAACAAAGACTTACGGAGCAGTAATGAAGTCTGCCCTCTTATTTCTGATAGGTTCCGTCATGATGATTGTGCGTTTTTAGAAAAGAGAAAAAAAAAATAAAAGATGATGATGATGAAAAACAGATGATGATATCTGATGGCAGAGATTTGGCTGATGCCTGCCTTGTAAGAGAAGAAATCGAGTAGGATGAGATTGAATGAAGAACAGATTAAAAGGGTAAGGGCGAGAGATGAAGAAACCACAACTTGCGCAGTTCAAGTATTCTTCCCTTTTCTGCTATCCCTTTTTTTTCTTTTTTTTTGTTTTCTTGATCTTATCTTATTCCTCTCCTTCTTCTTCTTCTTCTTCTCTTCTGTATTTTTCCCTTCTTCTTAATCTGATATTTGGTAGTTGATTGGATTGAATTTGATTTGCTTCAACCTGAATTGATGATGGGAATTTTTTTCTTCCTCGTTCTCGGCGGTTCGTTCCTCTTTTTGTTGAGATCGCTTGGCGGCGACAAACCTGCGCCACGCTAACTTTTTCATCTCATTTTGGGGAGGAAGAAGAAAACAAAAATATAAATAAATAAATTAAAAACGAGGATAGGCGTGACGGTCACATGATACTGAGTATTCTGTATCCATCAAGCCTTTGGAATCCATCCTGTCCACCATCCACCATCCACCATCCTGCTTTACTGGTGCTGTTTGGCCCACTCCCTCCCCCTTTTCACGCAATTCAGTCAGTCTACACTGTAAGGTAATGATAGGTAATTGATTCCAACTATGTATCAAGAGATTGAATTGCGGAATGTATATGCGTGAGTCGAGTAAAGGGTCACGGATAGCCGATTTCACACTCTTCCCTGCTTCACTACTCTCAAATTCAACATGAGCCAATTGAGATCGAGCTTCGTCACATATATAGAAGTAGGAACATTCCAGGTAAAGAGTCAAGGACGGTTGCCCAGAGCATATGATGCGTTGATATGAATGCTAGTTCCTGGCTGATAGGCCATAGGCCTTGAATAGCCGCCTGGAATCACGCTCGGACCTACTTCTGATTATGATCCAAAACGCATCGCTGAAGAAAAAGGTGGAGGTATATATTCTCTCGCGGACTGTTTTCAAGGAGGATGGTTTTGACGGCGGTGGAAGGAGCCCCTTCCCCGCCCACTGAGTCGTTTCGTCCCAGAGGCTGAGTGGTACCTACCTTCTTGTCTTTCAAGTTTTCTTATTATTTCTTCCTCTTCCTTGGTCAGATAACTATGCGATTGACGTAGTTGTTGGGCTGTCAATGCCTGGTCCGGTCGGAAAGAGAAAGAACCCATGGATCAACTGCTGCAGCTGCTGCCCCAGGGGCCGGATAGTATCAACCCAGTTGTCACCAATTCTTCATGTCAGCTCTTCTGATACGGGTGCTAATATCATGGGTATATATCTGTCATGTGCGTCCAATCGAGCCTCCTATGCCCATCGATATAAATATAGAGCTGTCTTCTTCTTTTTCTTTTTCATTCGAGCAACGGTGTCCTTGTCATTCGTCCGACTGCTGTGCATCTGAAGGCGTTTTCGCTCTTCCTCTGCTACTTCCAATGCCCTACGTTGCCGTAGTGCAGCGGTATGTTCAAAGATCTGTCGTTGGCGGCTTTCGCTTATCCATTCTTCAATGACATAGTGATCCGGGTCGTCCTGCCATTGGCGAGAAAAGGAGAGAAGGAAGGAAAAACAAAAAGGTCAGCCGAACTGCGTAGGCTGAGGATCAAGTCAGCTGGACTTACTTCATGTATGCAGAACGGCAAGCCAAAATATCTCAGCGTTTCGAGTTCGACTTCGTTTCGATGAATCTATATATAATATCAGTATCAGTATGGTCCTGGTAGGTCAATTGGATCGAAAGTACGAACCTTGACAAATATCCTTTTAGACGATGGCGATTGCGACTGCGAGTAATCCATGAACGGTTCACGCTGAAAATGGACCTGTTGTCCGCGAAGATCACTCGGACACCTTTTCTGAGCACGGTCACTGCTGATAGTCGATGCATCGCTTTCGGCGGGATCTGCGGAATCCTTCTTGAAGCAGGTTTCAGGTGTTCGCCTTCCCGACGCTTGTTTCGCCTTTTTCGAGTGTTGCCTTACTGCAGGCCGATTAGGCGATGATGTTTCCGATGATACATTCCCATACCCCAGTGATTCCAGCCTGAGCTTGCTTTGAATTTCAAGCTCCTTTTCCAGCTGTATTCTCTGCTTAATTCGTACACCTTTTGACTCCTGCTTGTCTAGAACCTCTTGCACCACCTTGCTTATGATTCGGCTTTGCTCTTCTTCCAATTGTCGTTTGCTCTTGCTTGGCTCCGCCCGGGGGTCACGACCCTCCGGTTGGTCATCAACTCCAATGCCTCCCTCAAGCTTCTTCAAAAGCCGCTCCAAACGTCGGTCTTCTTCGGGGGACCTCGGCAGTCCAGCTCTAACCAATGCAGCTTGGACTTGGAAGATGCGCATAGCTTCCTTGCACACTTGTCCAACCTCCATTTCCGATGTTGGCATCTCTCGGACTGCACCAGCCTGGAATCTTTCTTCCGAGCAATCATCAACAGGCGGAAGCTCGTCCGTTTCAGGATCTTCCCAAGAATCAAAGAGCTTCTTCTCGATCGAAACGATGTCATCGTCCAACAAATTGATGCGACGGCGTAAGCGTTCACGCTCATATTTATCCTTCTCAACATTGTATTTCTTTTTCATAGCCGCCTGGTCGGTTTTTAATGATGTCAACTGAGCCAACAGCACCTCCGGCACATCAGAATCATTAGAACTAGAGGTGCTCGTTGAGTCTCTCCTAGACAGTGTTGCCGCAGGCAATTCACTCGAATGTTGATAGTGATATCCTGCCATGATTAACTAGAGATAGCGAAAAAGTGATCTGTTTCTGCATATGCACTGGGTGATGCGCAGGTTCAGAAGTGGTTATCTATCTTCGATCAAAGCGTCAGCACTGGTTCGCCGCGGTCCTTCAATTGAGGCGAAAACAGAACTTGTATCGTAATAAGTGAGTAATCGATCAATTCAGTTGGTGAAAGCTACTGAACAACTGACTGACAGTTATTCACGCTTACTATTGTCAAAGAGCCAAAGGACAAAGCAAAGTAGCAATTGGGGGCGTAAGCAACTCACGTAATACGGGAGTTGATCGGATAATGAAAGGAAAGTAGAAACCCAAGCAAAGGAGCATTGAGTGATGTAAGACAATGATTCTCCTCAAAAGGCGTGAATGAGTAAAGACGATGCACCGTAGCGGAACGAGCTTTGAAAGCAGCGGAGGGGTTTCATATCTTGATATGGGGAATGCATAAGCTGCCATGTATTTTCCCAATTAAGAAACACACTTGCATGGCATGCGGGCCCATTTCATGCCCTGCATCATGTCATAGACTCTCCCGCCAACTGCCATAACGAACAACGATTGCGCATAATGATTAATCAATAGCATCGCAACGTAGACGATGTACTTCGGCCTGGTAACCATGAAAGTGAAGGCTCAGTGAGCAGGTTGGGAGCGAGCGTGTGATGTGTACGCACACTGTTCGTACACCTAGCTCAATCTTCCCGCGTAATTCAGTGGCCAGGGGAGATAGAGGCTATTGCCACCTGAGAAGTATGACCATACGGGAAACGAATTACCATGGCGTGCGAGCCAGGTCAGACGCTTTGACTCATTCGCTCTGTTTGTTCTTTCATTGCCCGATTGAATGCTGCCAGTAAGACAAGGTCCTTCCAAACGTGAGGTGCGGGTGTCAGCGAAAGGGTCCCAACCCTGCTTGTGTCGTTATCTTTAATTTTAGGAGCATGAGATTGGCATGACGGCAGATTCACCAACGTTTCTTCTTTATAGATAAGGCCTCGCTTGAAACAGCGCCCGAGCCAATGCGTAGCTGCGTTGATCTGGCTTGCTCGCAGCTGAAAAAGGAAAGAAAAAAGAAAGGAAAGGAAAGGAAAAGAGGGCCCAATCGAGGGGATGTATGTATTTTAGTGAGATTTGTCTCCGCCAGACTTAGAGATAAGCACAAGAAAAACAGATAAAAATAAGACCATCATGAGTAGGGTGGGATTCGAACCCACGAGTACAGAGTACAACCGCATGTTTCAAGTATAACCTGAAGCGATCGCCTTAGACCGCTCGGCCACCTACCCAAAAACAGTGAACTATGTGTGCCAAAGGCAACCCACCATCTCATGACCATCATCACGTTCACGAATGATTCAGATAGACAAGCCAAAATAACATCATGTAGATAACATGTGTTCTCTTCGCCAAGATTATAATACCATGGTGCCGCAATCGAGACTGTGCCGTTCTC